GCTTTAATCGTCTGTGCCATAGATTGTTTGTCAAGAATCTATCAAAAACACACAAATGAGACACACTTTTGCACTGGAGGCATGTTGCTTTATTACGATGGAAATGAGCACTGTAGTTTTAATTGAGTCAGTCCACTTACGTGGTCTCCTGGTGCCATTAATACTCACTAGTGCACAAAATGTGTTATATGTAGTTAAATATTAGCGATTGTCATCTTAAATAGGAACCGGTGGGCTTGGGGCTGAGTGCCACAGGCAGGGAGGGAAGTCGAAAAGTATTGAGCGATGGGCCATATGCGTTGTTGGTTTTGTCTTGTCATGGGAACCTTATCTTTTAAATTGTCGGACAAAATGCTGAAGTATAAGAGAGAGCAGTGACAGTCTGTGAATGTGCTCCACAGGAAATCATTCAGCAGCTTATAGATAACAGCTCAACATTCAGAGATAAGACTGGATTTTCCCAGGATAAGTACATCAAGAAGAAAAAGAAGAAGTGAGTCACTTTTGATGATGCACCCACAATCTCTTTCTGATTACAAATAATGTAGTGTGCTGTAATTAGTGTTATCTGTTGTTCCCATTTTGTGCTTTCCCAGGTATGAAAATACTGTGACCATTCTAAAACCGTCCTGTCGCATCCTGGCTATGATGTACCAAGGCCGGGAACCGGGGAAGATCCGGTGAGTCAGCACATGGATTTAGCAGTATGTGTGAAAGTTATGTTTTTATAGAGTGGAAAGAGATGAATGTACGATGTGTGTGTGTGTTTTGTGGGATACAGCCACCTGCGGTACGACACACTTGCCCAGATGTTGACCCTGGCAAACATCCACGCTGGCAGTAAAGTTTTGGTGTTTGACACTTGTGCTGGCCTCGTGCTGGGAGCCGTCATGGAAAGAATGGGGGGTACGTCAGTCCTGTGAACTTTTCTCTGGTGTTTGTCTGTTTTTAGCTTGATCTATACAAAAAGCGCTATTTTTGCTGCCCTTTGTGTAATTGTCCTCTCTTTTCTCTTTTCCTCTCCATCCAGGCTATGGCTCAGTAATCCAAATGTACCCAAGAGGTGAGCCTGTTCGGGCGGGTGTGGAGAGTTTTGGCTTCCCTGCACATTTTCGTGATACGCTGCATGGGTTTCCCATCTGCCATGTCAATGCTCTGCTGGCAGGCACTCTGGACACCACTGCCAAAGATCCCAGTGCTGGTAGAGCTTTTTTTTTTCTAAATAAATCTCTCCGAAATGTTTATAGCTTTGTTGTTTTTAGATGATACGGAGTAGCTACAACTTAGTGTTTCCTGTCTACAACTTCACAAATGCTGAGATTTGCATGTGTTCCTCTGATGGCCGTTTATGACAGGAGTCTGTTCTGTGACCTTCCTCTGATATAAATTATCTCCTTCACCATTACAGATTCAAAGCAGTCCAATACGGCTGCAGAGGGGAAGCAAAACCAGCCTGAGGCAGAACGGCAGGGCAGTCCAGAGGAACAGAGCATGGAGACGAGCAGCTGCACTGATGGTAGCCATGAACAGGAGAAAGATGAACAGGAGAAACGCAAAGAAGCCAGAGTATGCCCACTATTTACTAACCCCATTAAGGGCATTCCTAAATCCAATTGTTTTACTGTCGTGCCTTTATATTTGTAAGTAACAGGAACAAGCCTGTATTTGAAATATCAAAATTGGATCTGAAAGAGAGTGAAAGTCCTGACTTCATGTTTTTTTTTTCAGGCTCAGGAAAAAAAGGTGAAGCAGGAGGAGAAACGGAAGAAACTGGCAGCCGCTGCTGCCCTGCTGGAAGGCAGGAATGCCGACGGGTTGGTGTCAGATTTTGCCTTTGCTTTCACATTTCTGTTTCTCTTCCTGCACCGCTCTTCCCTTTTCAGCATCAGCCTCTCTCTCTCTCTCTTTCTTCTCTCTCTCTCTCTCTCTCTCTCTCTCTCTCTCTCTCTCTCTCTCTCTCTATTTCATATCCACCTCGGCTTTATCAGTTCTGGGTTGCACCATGTCGTAAACAACAATAATGAAAATAGATCTCCCGGCATAAAAAAAAACTGATTAATGATTAAAGTATTGTTAAGTATGTCCATAAAAGGCATGATAAATCCTTGGCCTTCCTCTGAGCTCACGCACAATGATTAGCACACGGCGTCCTTACAAGGTGAACAAAGTGATTGCTTTGCAGTTTCCTGTCATTTATAATGAAGAGCTTGCTTCACAGCTTTTTTTATGATTGATGGAGGAAGTGTTGTGAGGGTTACATCCGAGCCAGAAGTACCAGTATTGATCTGGTTAACTTATTGACTTTCCTCTTACTCTTCTCTACATCATAGCAGCTATATCACAAACAGTACCTCAGAGCACAATTTTCCGGACTGTCCTAAATCAGCCTCTTTTACTGATTTTCATCCAGCTATATAACATATGAAATGAAGGTCTACAATAGGTACTAAATCCTTAAGCCTTCCAGTCATAACTCACACACAGCACTGACGGGCTAAATTACGACAACGCCAACCTACACATTCCCAATAACAGTGTGTGCTTTACAGTGTTTTGGACAAGTGTGCTTGATCATCCCTTTGTTTCCCTCATGCAGGTTGGTTATAGCCAGTCAGTATCAGCCGTGTCCAGTCCTCATGGGGCTGCTCAAATTCCTCTCCCCCTCCAGGCCTTTTGTAGTCTACTCCCAGCACAAAGAGGTAAGGTCACCACGAACTGTGTTTTTCACTAGAGCCACAACAACACTGTTGATGCCCCACAGTGAATGAGGATTATTAGTTATCTGGGAAAGATCTATTGGCTGCCACTGGACAGGTTTTATTGCTTGGAGTCCCAGTGAGAAATGTCCTCTTTACATTACTGCAGTGGACATCCCCTGTCACAGCCAAGAAGTTACAATGCATATCACGTCCCAGCACTTATTCCCTCTGTTGTGCTTATGTTGCTAAAAAAGATTACTGCGTGTGTGTTGACTCTGCAGTCCTCCTCCTAATGCTCCCTTTTCTTCTCTTCCCCCCTCAATGTCTGAAGCCTCTTATCGAGTGCTACACAAAACTCAAGGAACATGGCGGCACGGTCGGCGTCAGGCTCACAGACACCTGGCTCAGGCATTACCAGGTAGGATTTAAACTCTGAATCATGTTTTGAGTAATCTAGGTAATTAATTGCCTCATTGAAAATCAATTGTCAATGGGCAGTTAGCTGCTTTAATCAATATTTTTACATCCACAATGAATCAAATGACTGTGTGTAATGTTTAAAGGCGTCGCGACTAGTGATTAACCTACAGAGAATTAATGCCCAACTCTGCAGTTCCACGGTTTTAGCTTTCAGCTCATTGTTTTGGTTTTGCGGTCAACAACTTTGCTCTCTTGACCCACTCTATTCTCGTCAGCGTTGTTTTCAGATGTATCAGGCAGCTTATTTCAGCAAATAAATGCTCTAAAATCGCACTCGACACTACCTGCTCAGTACCATACGGCAGACAGACACAGTTAGAGGCTAGCTGATGGACATGATGGAGCATTTATCAGCTAAAGAGCCAGATATCTTTGTCAGGAGTTTGGTGGACCTAAATTTGTAAATTTGTGTGACATCTACACAAACCCGGCTCCATATAAATGTGGGTTCATGCTCTCTGAATTTTGTTGCGCTGGATCAAAAGATCAATCAATGTTGGTTTAATGCTACGTAAGTAATAGCATCAATCGCATACTTCATTTGAGTCAAATCAAATAACTAAAATTTCACAGAAAGCCTTTTTTAATAAGCAATTAATCTGTAATTTTTTTTAAATACATTTTTTGGTCTATGTAACGTCATTTATTTCCATTGTTTTAATATTCACAATTTGCAGTGGTATAAAACATAGATAAGCAGCACATTATCACATTTTAGAGGTTGGAATCAATCAATGTTTGGCATTTTTGCTTGCCTTAAACCATTAAATTGATAAATTGTCTGTCAATCCACTAATTTCAACCCAAGTAAATCCTTCATTTACTGCTAGAAGAACTAAGTATCGATTTGGTTTTGGTTGAGCAGTGTTGGAGACACGGCACATTTAGCAGCATCAATTCTTGCTGACAACATACTGCCCCATATCCATTATTACAGGCTCCCACCATTTGCTCTCACTGTCCATTATTTCTTTTTCTTGTTTAGACCTTTGTTTTCAGCCAGTTGCTGCATGGTGTTTGCATACTTAAAGAGATCTTCCCCTCAGGACCAAAGTGTTATTTCCCCCAGCCCTTCCTGTAGAATTAATGTCTCATGACTGTATTTCTGCATCGTATCCCTAGGTGTTGCCTAACAGGACACATCCTCTGCCACTGATGAGTGGGGGCGGAGGCTACCTCCTCTCAGGAACAACAGTTGCCACGGACCGCTCTAAACCTGCAGGCTCCCAGCAAGCTGAGGAACCAGCACCAAAGAGACTGAAAGTGACAGACACGGAAGGATAAACAAATTCAGAAGCATCAAATCCTTTAAGGGCACATTACCAGTGGCTTATAGGGATTTTCCTCCAGCATCGGCATCTCTTTCTGCTGAACTGATTTGACACATCTGGAATAAGGGAGACAGGGTGTCTGGTTTGCATTCATCAGAACACTTTCTCCCGTCTTGTGTGTTCAGATCAGTGCAGATGAACGTGTAATGCTGAGGAGTAAACTGTAAGCCAGTTTAGGCTGTATGAGCTCAGTGTATGTGTTGCGTAAGGAACTGCTTTGTGTGTTGAGAGTTCGAGACAGATTTTGTCTTATGCCTCGAGACCAGGTGTAGATCTTTTTTCCAGTTAATGCTCTCCAGCTTCTAGGTTATAACTTTGTTTTATTTTGTTATCTCTGCAGGAAGTGCCATTTGTTATATGATCTAGTTGCTAATGCAGCTCCACTCTGGGTTATATCTGTATACTGCACAGAATTAAAAAGCAGTACTAAAAAAAAAAACTTGTGTGAACACTTTTTTTTTTTTTTCATCAAGAAGAAATTTGAGAGATATTTGTTTGGTCCCAGAATAACTCCTTTTATTGAGTGCAGAGTGAACAAATTCTTCAGAACACTATTATTTGAATAATTTCAGACGAGATTTCTCAGATATATATTATTTTCATAGTTTCTCTTATCATATACATATAACATTAAACCATTCCCATGCTGATTAAACATCAAAATATCACAAATACCATAATAAACAAGTTGATAAAATGTTTTTGGCAAGGCTCAAGGGTTTTTATGTGTTAATTTTTTGTCTTTTTCAACACTGTAACCACACTAAACTGGCAGACATACAGTAAGACAGGAGTTTTTTTTTTTATCCACTGGTAGTGAAATCAAATGATGTCCATCCTGCTTTAAGCACTGTTGTCATGCAACTTGGCAGCAATTTTCTGCAACTCCATGTCCATCGCTGCTAGGTTTTCCAGCTCTTTCTCCTGAAAAACACAGAATATTTGTACATCAGCAACTGAATACCATCAGGTTATATTATGACATCTGAACAGTCGTGGTTTTTTTGGCATGCATGGAATAGAAATTGGTACATTATCATAAATTGGGCTAATTTTTCCATGCCTGTTCCAAACTTTGCATAATATGCTGAATTGGTCATTTGGGTTAAGCATTCCCTTTTTATCATTTTGAGCTGTGGTGCCTCAGAACTTATAAACAACTACGCCTCCTCCCTGATTTGTTCTTCTGTTCAAAGTATGTTACAAGATAGGGAGCTCTCCACAGGCCGTTGCTCTCTATTCAATGGGTATATTATGACTTTGATTGCTCTGTGAGGCTATAATTATGAGGTACTTGGTGTGATTACTGCAGCAGTCATAAAAAGCTGATGTGGAAAGTGCAAATATAGATAAAAGGGCACAAACAAACAGAGAAGTGCTGAAAAGACATGTAGTGAAGAACATTTGAGAAAGCTAATAAAAAATTTTTAAAAATGTTCTATGTGTTCCAGAGTTGAGGAACGAGTCACTGCCTATAATTTTACTGGTTCCATTTTGTCTTCATGTATTTGGGACATGATCACGAGGGACAGTTCTTGATGTGCATTTGCACAGATGCATATTCACTGATGCTCTGTGGTTCTGAAGGCTAAATCCTGACATTTCCATGTAGATTAGAGATTTCCATAATGAGCAAGACTGCTTCCACCCCAGTGAAACAGTGAAATGGAGGTACTTGATGTGCTTCATGGCTTTACTGGGTCAGCTGAATATATGGCTGGGGAGGGGGGGTGGCTTTCATAAGCATGAAACTTGCAAATGCATGCATTCTCAGTCATCCTTCAGGGAAGATTCTAACTAGTTTTTAAGATTTGCTTGCATTTTTATTAAAAATTTTTGCCTGAATTCCGGTTGCTACACGGTACTGTCCATCAGTACAGATATACAGAGAGTAAATTTCAGTACATGCTGTGCAGACTTCAGTGGTCTAGTTAGAGGTTTATCAAAGCGAACAAGAGCAAATGCATCCGCGCTTCAGTAACAAAGGTCATTTTTTTTTGCAATAAGTGGAAGCAGTTTTACCTCCTGCGCGTTAAGTGCTCTCTGGTGTGTGCTCCTCTTTGCCTCATCTTGATTAGAGTGGTTGGCCAGCTGGTTTATCTTATACTTCAGCAATTTAGCCAGTTCCTCCATCTGAAAACAGGCAGAACCAGATTATGTCTTAACTTTGCTAGGTCAAAATAATAATCTGGTGATCAAAATTTAACTGGTTAATGATTTAAATTTAATGGTTAATGATAACCAAATGGATGAAGAAGTATTGAGTTTGACATTGAGAAAATTGATAAGGGTAGGGTCAATAAAATAAAATATTACTTATACATGTGCTAAAAAATTTATTAGACTGAGAGAATTAGCCAAGGACATATTTCTACAGGACAAATTTCCTCAATCTGCACATTTAGGTTGAGTTTTAAAGTCTCTCAACCAAAGCTACAAACAATTTGCAACTATATAATTGCTGTTTCATATATACACATAATACCTACCTTGTCTGAGGTTGCAGCGTGCTCATCTGAACTTCTTTTAAACCATGCAGGATGGTAGTAGCCTCTGAAAATCCAGGGATTACGCTTCTCTGCCAAATATCTGAAACACAGCCCCAATTAGATGCTGTTCTACCAGTAGTTTTTATGTCAACACATGCACACTGCTTAAGGCTTTTTTCATATCTTGGGCAAAATTTTGTTTGGATCCCTGTTGATTGGAGACATGTATTATTGAACCGTGCAGTGTTTTGTGCTCCGGGGTGCAGAATACAAACAAACAATTAAAGAGTAGAAGTTGTTAGATATGATGAAAGATAGAAGTACCTCAGAGCATTGTCCTTGTCCTTTGCCGCCTCCTCATATTCCTCTGAATCACTCCTCTGTTCTTCCTCTTCTTCCGATGAGCCTCCGCCACGCTTGTGGAGTTTCTTTTTATGGTGGTATCTATGTGTTGGTTTCCATATGCGCTTTTCTATTTCTTCCTCTTCTTTTCCATTTCTTTTGTCCAAGCCCCAGGACTCTTGGCTGCGTTCTTCGTCCGGCTCTTCTCTCTCTTCCTCTGAGAGCTCCTCATCACGTTTCTGTCTCCTCTGGTGGTACCTGCCGGCCCTCCACTCTCTCTTATCTCTTCCAGTATCAAAGTCCCAGTACTCTTGGCTGCGTTCTTCATCGGGCTCTTCTCTCTCTTCCTCTGAGAGCTCCTCATCACGTTTCTGTCTCCTCTGGTGGTACCTCCCGGCCCTCCAGTCTCTCTTATCTCTTCCGGTATCAAAGTCCCAGTACTCTTGGCTACGTTCTTCATCGGGCTCTTCCCTGGCTTCCTCTGAGAGCTCTTCATCACGTTTGTGTCTCCTCTGGTGGTACCTTCCAGCCCTCCAGTCCCTTTTGTCTCTCTCTCCTTCGAGACCCCAAGATTCCTGGCTGCGTTCTTCATCAGGCTCCCCCCTGGCTTCTTCTGCGAGCTCTTCATCACGTTTGTGTCTCCTCTGGTGGTACCTTCCAGCCCTCCAGTCCTCTTGTCTTTTCACCTTCAAGCCCCAAGATTCCTGTCGTTCTTCATCAGGCTCTTCCCTGGCTTCTTCTGCAAGCTCTTCATCACGTTTGTGTCCTCTGGTGGTACCTTCCAGCCCTCAGTCCCTCTTGTCTTTCTCACCTTCAAGACCCCAAGATTCCTGGCTGCGTTCTTCATCAGGCTCTTCCCTGGCTTCTTCTGCAAGCTCTTCATCACGTTTGTGTCTCCTCTGGTGGTACCTTCCAGCCCTCCAGTCCCTCTTGTCTTTCTCACCTTCAAGACCCCAAGATTCCTGGCTGCGTTCTTCATCAGGCTCTTCCCTGGCTTCTTCTGCGAGCTCTTCATCACGTTTGTGTCTCCTCTGGTGGTACCTTCCAGCCCTCCAGTCCCTCTTGTCTTTCTCACCTTCGAGACCCCAAGATTCCTGGCTGCGTTCTTCATCAGGCTCTTCCCTGGCTTCTTCTGCGAGCTCTTCATCACGTTTGTGTCTCCTCTGGTGGTACCTTCCAGCCCTCCAGTCCCTCTTGTCTTTCTCACCTTCGAGACCCCAAGATTCCTGGCTGCGTTCTTCATCAGGCTCTTCCCTGGCTTCTTCTGCGAGCTCTTCATCACGTTTGTGTCTCCTCTGGTGGTACCTTCCAGCCCTCCAGTCCCTCTTTTCTCTCTCATCGTCAAGACCCCAAGATTCCTGGCTGCGACTGCTATCTTCATCTTCCTCCTCACCACGTTTGTGGAGCTTTTTCTTGTGGTGGTAGCGATGTGTGGGCTTCCATATGCGCTTGTATCTCTCCCCCTCATCCTCGTTCCCATGCCTTTTGTCTACATCCCAGTACTCTTGGCTACGTTCTTCCTCTGGCTCCTCCCTCTCTTCTCCTAAAGGTTCCTCATCTCGTTTGTGTTTTCTTTGGTGGTATCTTCCAGGCCTCCAGTTCCTCTTCTCTCTGTCTTCGCCTTCTTCTTCTTCTTCTGATCTCTTCTCCTCTAAACCCCAACTCTCCTGACTGCGTTCGTTGTCTTCTTCTCCTCCTCGTTTGTTTTTCCGTTGGTGGTATCTTCCAGGCCTCCAGCTGCTCCTCTTCTCCCGCTCTTCTTCCTCCTCATTCTCATGTCTCTTCTCCTTCTCGTCACCCAGACTCCAGGATTCTTGGCTGCGCTCGTCTTCTGGGATTTCTCTTTTTTCCTCCACGGATTTCAGGAGAGCCTCGATGTCTTTCACATCTGCTCCCTTTGCCTCAGGCACTTCAGGATGACCTTTGACCACCTCTCCATGAGTTGCTATACCCTCCGCACTCTTCTTGTCCAGTGGGGCATGTTTGACCCCTATGACAGAACAAAAGAAAGATCAAAAGAGGTGTAAAGAATCCATTTAATATCGCTCTCAGCGACAGGTTATGATGGATTTCTTATTGGACTTAAGCCAAATAAATCCCATTGTGTAGTTGATGACGGCCAACCTTTTTGATATTTAGGTTTGATTAAAAGCTTCTGTACTGAACTGTACTGGAGGATAAAGATTAATATTTTTGGTTGCTTGTCTCGTCTGTGGAAAAGTGGCATGACAACTCAACAATTTTAATAGCTCTATTTATGTCCCCAGTTAGTTGCCAAGATAGTCTTAATCAAACCTGACCTGACAGTTCAAGAGTGCTGCATCAACAATGTCCTTAATGCTTTAAATATGCCTGCTTACTATCCCCACGCACACTGGAGAGTCTGCCTGTGGTACAAACCTGCTTGGAGGATATCTTTGCATTCCTGATCCAGCTGAGAGTCCGGTTTGGAGAGAGCTTTGGACAGGACTTCAACCAAGCATCGTGTAACCTGCAATAAACAAATAACCTAAATACGTATCTCTTTGCTGCTTTTTTTGGCTTAATTTTCTGACAGTTTTTTAAACTTCACAATCAAATTGCATTCGAAAAGCATACCACATCTTCTCTCTGTCCTTCTTTTCCAACTGGAAGCGCTAGATTTTCTGCATTAGAAGAAAAAGTATCATATTAAAATGAGTGAAATGTGGCATTGCACGAAGAATCGCATGTATTAAAGTGAGAGTCGTCAGTGTCTCTGTCCATGGTCCTGAGCTGCGCTCTCTAACTTAAAGCACTCTGCAAGAAGAAAACCCACCACTCTTCCACCTACCTGTCAACAAAGCCGCAACCGCAACAACAACAAAAATAAGCCTCATCTTGGCGAGGAGACGGTATATCCAAGAAAATGTGGGGGGGAAAGCAACAACTCCCGTCCTCTCCGTTATCGGCAGGAGAGAGCTGCGCTGACTGGGCGCCTGCTGCTCTGAAGAACGGAGCAGAGGAGCGCCTCAAATAAAGAGAGGAGTGGGCTGGAGGAGCGTGGGAGGAGGGCTTTAGGCTCTGTTAATGTCATGACTCATTAGACCTGCAATCAGAGTGATGTGAGTGAAATTTGATGCATGCACAATGTCGACATTTGGTGGAAAGTGAATTAGCAATCTAGTTAGTGTCACAGGTCATTTGGGTGATCGCTTAAACAGATTTTAGAGTCCATTCATGGTTGCGTTTTAATGCCAGGAGATGCCTGAGGAGAAGCAGGTAGGGGGGTGGACACAACATCACGAAGAGTCGTGCACTCTTATGCAATTTGGTACTTATAGCCCTGCAACACTTCTTTGTCAAGATGTATTTAGTTTTCTCTCTTTTATGTCAGAGAGAAGTTGGTTCAGCTGTTTATGCTGCTGACTACCTGGAAGGCAGCCTTAGTTTGAATCATCCCTAACACGGGTTTATCCTACTATTTCATGTCAACATGGCTGCTGTGAAAAAGATCTATTAACGGCTTATTATCTTAGAATTCTGAGATTACTTTTTTTCGTTTTCTGAATTAATGAGGTACCTCCAGCAGGCTCTCGATGCCCTCTCTCAGCCCCCCTGAGCCTAACCCAAATCCTAAAACCAGTCTCCAGTATGTTTCAGTGGGCCCATATAGGGCTCTGAGTCCCCTGACCTTCAGCAAACTAGACAGAGGGAAAGAAGAAGGTTGGCGTGTTCTGTGCCCACGGCCTAGTGTCTGTTCTTGGTTTTGCTTTTGTGTCCACACACACGCAGGAATGCTGGAAGTCACAGTTGGAGGTGTGCCTGGATGCTAAAGATGTGACCCACACCAGTTTATCATAGTTTATCTTTATACATATTTATCTGTCACTGCTAACAGAAATTCCAGTCTACAGTCTACACTTTACTGATAAACCACAGAATATAAGAGTAACTTGAGCCCACATCCAAGTGCCTGTTCTTTGCTGTCCTCCCGTGACACCCCAGCCATGGGCATGGACCACACCAACCTCCCTCTTTGGGATAAAGGCGAGGGGACACAGAGCCTGGGCCCACTGGAGTTTGCTGAAGGCTGTCTCAGTGCTGGAGAACCAGCGTTAGGTGCTTTGGGTTAGGCTCAGGAGGGGCTCAGAGCTGCACCTGGGCATGGAGTGCATGCTCGAGGTTTCATGAAAACGTATCTCAGAATTATGAGATAATACGTTTTTTATTCAGAAAAACAGTAGAATATTTTTTTCAAGTGGACGCAAGACATCTCCTTACTCTTCTGTAGGATTGCATTAGACTGCAGACATGTTAATATTACACCCAGTGTCAAAATAAGATTTTTCTTTGTGTTTTAGAACAGGCTTGCCAAAGTCTGTAGTTATGTAATACGTCCTTATTCTTAGCTGTAATGTTGCCCTACATTTTATGTTTGCTTAAATGATTTAATGCTAATGTAGCATATATCTAAAAAACATTGTTAAAATAGACATGTACAGCATTGGAGTCTGACCAAACCTGAGTCAGAATTCAGCCCAACTGACTCCTCAATAATTCATTCAGCCTTCAGCACATCCGACCCAGTTTCCCATGGGAACGTGTGAGCTTTAGCACCAGTAAAGGAAAATCAGTTAATGGAGACCTGGATCAATAGTTTTTGTGGTTAACACTCAAGTAACATGGATGTACATGTTTTCCAACATTATTCATTGTTCCAATTATGCTTGTTGCAGATATACAGTGTTTCTCTAATCAAGAGTTTTATGTGCCTGTCAATATGTTCAAAAGAACACAGCTGCAGAGTCGTGAAAAGTCGACTTATTGTATTGACAAGTGCAAAGATTTATGATTGGACAGTATTCGGGTCTTGATTTCTAAACTTCTTTTAATTTGCAGCTTTTCATGAAACTAGGCAGAGCATGAGCAGTATCTTAATATGTGACTGCTGCTGTCTTCACAAGAAACCCTGGATTGGGAAGAACTGACATGTGCTGCGACAGAGCTCAAACTTAGTAGGCTCAGCACAGCACGGCTCAGAACATTCAAACTGACAACTGTGGGCATCTTCTTTTTTGGCAGTTTGCATTAATTTCTTCTTCTTACTTCCTTGTACAACAATGTGTTCTTTCTCAGCGCATATATTCTTTCCCTCAGACAAATGCAAGTCAACAAGTGACCTGTCTGAGACTGTTGAACATGGGCTACTATAAATGTAAATTACTTGCATCTATATATATGGGCCTCTGTAGATGCCTATGCATAAATCTTTACATGGGATATTTACACAGCAAGCACTGACCTTTATGTATAGCAAAGTACATTCAAATGCAATCATGTCTCGGAAACCATAAGCCCTGAAAGTGTAACAGCTGCAAGCAAAATGAAAATATCTTGCACCATAAATCTGCCCTGTTGCCTGTGCTTCTCGTGCCTACATGACTGGTTACTGACGTCAATCAATGTTACTGCAGACACGCTCTGTTGTGGTAACTGAAATAATTACTGGTCTGAGCATGAAACTATAAAGTCAGACAGTGTATCGCACACCCAAGCAATACGCACTGATCCAAAGAAGCCAGTGAACCTGGTCTTTTGTGCGAATGACAGATTTTCAATTTCACATGTTTTGTGTGAGCAGCAGCAGCTCAACAGTGCTCTGCAGTTTCCTCTGCTGTCCCTGGGGAGGAAGTCCTGTCTGTGACTGAGGCTCAGTGTACTCCACTGTGAGCCATCCAGCCACTAGATATCAAAAGCACTGAAGCACTAAATTATACAAGTCCCATACTCTGAACAATCTCTGTGTGTGTGTGTCTGTGAATGCGTGTGCACTCACATGTGACACAGTGTGTATGTATTTTTGTGGCCTTACTGCCATTGCTCCAGGTCTGATTAATATTTTAGTGAGGCATGAAGATATAGGAGCTTACGGGCAGTCGGGGGTTAAGAGGGAAAGCTCGATGCGTTCAGACAGGCTCTGTGAGCACGACTCAGATCGGCCCCCATCTGCAGCAACACTACCCCTTTCATCTAACCCACTAACATGTATGAACAAAAGGCTAGTGGCTCATGAAGAGCACAATGCAATGCGCCTCATGAAAGCCTCCACTGGGCTTTGATCTTTGGTGGGGACATGCTTTATGTTTGGCTCAAAACTACTTTGGGGGACTTTGATGATATTCCAAGAACAATAGGGGAGTCTGTGTATGGTCGTCTAAGGTCAAATACACTTACTTTTGCTGTGTAATGTATCATTATTGTCTGACATATAGTTGGGAAAGAGGCAGTTTCATTTTCCTTTCAAGGAGTCACTTATTATTAGTCTTTTAACACAATCTGATGTAAGATCTAAAGCAAAGTTCTCACTAATTAGCAAACATCCATCCCTAACTTGAAATATGATATTATCTTGATGATTGCCGAAATAGTTATCTGACATAATAGTCTAACTGCACACTTATCAAAAAGTATTACCACAGACTCTTAATGGATTCAAAAACTTTACAAAAAAAATATTTAAACCACATTATCATAATAAAGTAAACTTTAACTTGCATGCAGCTTCTTCTGTTGTGTCTTTTTGTCTCTGCTGACCAAACATGGCCATCCACCAGAAGTGTGATGTTTGCGTGCCGAAGTGCTTTGGTATTGGGGCCCTTGTGTTTGCTGTTTCTGATATAACGTATAACTATGTAATTTTTATATTATTTTGCCGCCCCGGCCACGGAAGGGATGGATGTCTGTCTGTCTGTCTGACAGAGTGAAATATGTCAACAACTATATGATGGAGTGCCATGAAACTTTTATACAGACATTTATGATCCCCAGAGGATTAATTCTGTTGACTCTGGTGATCTCCTGACCTCCTCTAGTGCCACCATGAGGTTGTCATTTGTGGTCTTGAGTGACATGTGTCGACAACTGGATTGCCATGAAATTTGGTACATACATCCAATATACTTTTGTTGGAAAATCCAATAATCACAGACGTGCCATTAATCTTGCGATAGCCTCCCAGTTAAGGAAAAGAAGTTCAGGAATTACTCGGCCATACAGCTATGGTAATTATCTGTTTTTTTAATGTAGTGCCATCATCCAGTCAAAATTTTAATTTGTCCAGCACTTTGGTTTATGACAAAATACCTGCAAACCTAATGGCATTTCCATCAGCCTCGGATGTACTTTATGCTAATTAACAAGTGTGTGAACTAATAAAGATGGTGAACATGGTAAACATTACCTGCTAAACTTCTGCATCTCAGCATTGTCATTGTGAGTATGTTAGCATGTTAGCATGCTGATGTTAGAATCTATCTCAAATAGCACTGCTGTCCTTCACCACTGCCTCATAGACCTGCTTGCATGGCTGTAGACTTGTGGACACAGCGATGCTTTTTGTCAACAATAAGTTATAAAGCGCTTGCTTTAAGTTTAATGCAGCATATTTCCCCTGAAAAAATGCTCTCAGTCGAGTGCAGATCTCTGCCAGCTGTATCTGTGGGTGGGGAAACAGGGAGTTCAGGGCAGGCTGTGTGTCTTGCCTATATGCATGAGAGCAACAAGGGAGAGACAATATGTAGGTTACGTCAAGGTGTAACCAGAGTAGACAGGCATTTCCAAAACACAAGTGATGTAAAACGTCAATTTCAAAGTGAAAATGCCAACAAAAGAATCTGCTCACACAAGCATGACCTTAAAGTTGTCAATAGCAGAAAAAAGATTTTAAAGGGAAGCAGTTGATCACTTGTGGCCTCTTACAGCCGGTTGAGAGTAGTGAGGAGTCAGCAGTCTGTGGCGGTATAAAACTGAGCAGTCAATAAAATAGGTTTTTCAAACATTGTGAATCATTGCTACCACAAGAAGTCCTTGAGCATATAGTCCTATGCCGGGCTGGGATAATTAGCAAAAATAAGGCTGGAGCTTTTGAGCCCCTGGAGTTCTAAGGCCCTGTGGCAGTTGCCTCATTTTCCCAGTTAGTAATCCAACTTTGCCCATTCATTACTTGTTTGATAGTACCC